TACAAAGTACATTCTCATTCTGTTCTCTTGGGTTCTAGCAAAGAGTATAAATATATATTTATACTTTTTGATTTTACTATTATTTTATTTTTTTATTTTACCAATGGATTTCTTTTGTGTGACAATACCAATACGATTTTTGCCAAGTGTATTAGCTCCTATGGATTTGAATGCCATCTGGCCATTCATTGGAGTGTAAACATCTTTCATGGATCCACTTTTCCAAGTTTCTCATGGCAGTTGCCATCGTCCTGCTGGTTTTCCTTTTCCTATTCCTTCACCTTTACCTATCTCTCACCTCATCAGTTCGCACAGATTCCATTTCGTTTGCATTTTCTCCCCACTAGTGCCACGCCCCTGATTCACCATTTCACCGACCCGCCCACTGCCCAGGCTGGCAGCTGGAAAAGCTGGAAAAGCGCATGCCATTTATTAAGAGGCAACTATCAGTTTCGCCCTGCAACGGCGACCGTGTAAAATACTTTTCGAAACTTTTCCTAAGCCAACAGAAACAGGGGGTGGGAAAAAGTGGGTGGAAAAGGGGAGAGATAAAGGGGGCGGTGGGTCACCCAGTGAGGGTCAGTTGCCGTCTTACGCTCAACTTTCGCTTGCATGCACTTTGCTCACTTTCCACTTTTCGCTCCGCCGTTTGACGGTCAAAAGTCAACTCGAAGTCGAGTTCACTTCAAGTTGAATTTGTTTGCAGGGGCAAGTGGGGCCAACTGAGGGGAAGAAGCGGGGGGATCGGGAGTGGGGGATACTATATAGCTGGAGTGATTCATTACTTTGATTCTTTGACTTCTATTCACTTAGTTGTCCTAGTTGTGTGCCATTTTGTGTGCTTTCATTTTCAGCCATCCTGGTTTTCTCATTCTCATTTCCCATTTGCTATTTTCACAACCAGTTTTAAACTGGCACAGACAAATAATGACTCAATCTTTTGCTATTTTTATGCTCATTTCATACTTGCCAAAATTTTTGAGCAGAACAATTGCTGCCGTCACGCACCACACACAAAAATCTGCAAAAATATGTTTTAATAAAAGTTCGCCCCCTTGTTGGTTAAAAAAGAATGTCAAGCAACGACGGCGACGGGGAAAAGTTTTCGGGCCAACTCTAATAATATTAAGCGTATAGCATAAATATTTAAATTTCATTGTCACTCGCACTCAGGCGTCCCGCATTTTTATGCAAATAACCGGCAGCCAAATTTATTCGCCTTTGTCACGCCAAAAGCCGAAGCCAAAGCCAAAGATACACATGAGTGTCTGAGTGCGGAGTCCTGTGTCCTGAGTTGGCAACATGCGGTGGCGAACGGCAGGACATGGCCATCAACTCTGGCCAGTCGGAAATATTACCAGCTACCAGTTGTAATAATATTTGATACCCTCACTGGATTCGGCAATTATCTGGGAACAAATCTACACCGAAGACTACAAGGATCCAAAGTCAGACAATTTTAAAGAGGTTCTTGAAAACTATTCTCAAAAAATAATCAAGGCATTTAGACCTTTTTAAGTTTGCAGAAAAGGTGGATAGATATGTTGATTTTGTAATTTCACTTGAGCTACAAAAAAAATTCATTTCATTAAACTTAATCATTAAAATAAGAGAAGAAAACGTAAGTTTAAGAACCAGTTTTTTAAAGGTAAAATCACTTGAACAATTTGTACTATTTCCGCTTAGTATAATTTAGATAATTTCTTAATTTCTAATAGCACCAATAAACATTTTTTTTCCAACTTCGTTTGATATTCATATTTTAATTTTGTTAAATAGTATTATTATTAAAGTTATTCAAAATTTAAGATTATTTCATAATCTTAATTTTAATAAATTTACCTATTTTTATTGTCTTTTATTTTTGAAGTCAGCAACTACCCGATTTATATTAATTTTAGTTTCTTATTCTTGGTTTACCGCATTCCTCTGGGTGTAACCGACGATTTAAAAGGGTATTCAACCCAGGACCTACCTTTTTTTGCTTCTCGGGGGCATAAAACAAAGGTCTTCTGGTTCTGGCGGTTGGGGGTCGTGGAGTCGCGATGGGTGCCAGTGGCAGCCAAATGAAAACATCAAATGGCTTGTTTGCCTTTGCCAGGTGGGTCGCAATCGTTGTCGTCTGGCTGATAACTTGGCAACTTCAACTGCCACTGCTCAACTGCTGAACTGCTCAAATTATGCCGCCAGACGCGGGCGAGGACGACGACCGCCAAATGACGGGCGGGACAAACAAAGTCCGAACAGAAGCAGAAACACAGACACAAACAAGGACAATTGCCGTGAGCGGCGCGACATGCCAAAATCGAAAGTAGGCAACATCAACATCAATAGTGGGTCCACACCCACAACCATTCGAAAAACCCAACCCAACCAAACCATCCCACTTCTCCCACAGACCAAATGGCGGCAAAAAGAAATGAACTGAAATAAATTGTACGTTTCCTGAGCAATTTCCATTGCTGCCCGGCTCGGCCTGCAGGATTCGCCCTTTTTGCCATCGCTGCTGCTGCTGGCAGGGCATTAAATAAAACGTCAGCTCCAACAATGCTAAAAGTGCCAGCAATCAAATAAATTCAAACGTGACCAAAAATATCCACATATTCGTATTATCCACTTTGGTGGGGACTTTGGTCTGCGGCCGGTTGCATTGTGCAGATTTGCGTCGCGCCATAAATTTCTGAGAATGTCCACATTGACCAGCTTAGTCCAACATCATCAACAACAATCGGGCAGCGTCTAGACCGGCCAACAATAATTCCCCCGAATAGGTAATCATAATGGAGATATGGCTGCCAGAAAATGTAATGCTGAATCACAGCTGGAATCGTTGACTAAAGTGTGGCCACAAAATGTGCAAGGGTTCTTTGCTCAGCTCAGAGGTAATTCGATGAGTTACAATGTTTGCTACACAGAACTAAATAAATATTATTTTTAGAAAATAAAATATGGGAATATTAATGGGATTTTCATAGAAAATTTAATTGTAAGTACAGACAGCAAAGCATAAATAATAATATTAGAAATTATTTTCATATTTAATTTATAATATATATGGACTTTTTATTTGAAATTTGATTGTTCATGCGAAAACAAAGCATAAATAATAATCAAATAAAAATACGTGAAGAATAAGAAATGTTTGCCACACAAAACTAAATAAATATTAGCTTCTAAAAAATAAATAGGAAAACAACAATAGAATTTTTATTTGATATTTAATTTTAAGTAAGCAAAACATAAATAAAATTACTAAAAATACCCTTTACAACGTTGAACTATAATAAAATTAAATTTCAAGCATTGAACCAATTCCTGTGTTATTTACATTTACTTTCACTTTAACAGAGATAATCCCCCAGTGACAACTATAAAAAGCCTTCATCGTGTTGAGCACCTACCGATTAAATTCCTCCTTTCTTTTTCGCCCTTCAATCGTTTTATTATTTAAATCTGAAAATGTAATTAACCATCAATATGCGATTGACAAAATTTATTTGAATTTTTTGCACTTCAGTAGTGAACTCTATGGGTATTTTTTCGTCCATCCACCAGGATGGCGAAATATGTTTTTACCGGGTTGAGGACAAAGCGATTGACATTAAATAAAGAACGACGCGGACAATGGAAAAAACTATGTGGCGAAAAACCAGTAAAGAGCATTGCACCATGACACATTTAATACGTACACTATATGTGTATATATGCATAGGCAAATGGCTTTATTAACACAGCCAGCAGGTATTGATATTGTCTCTTGGGCCTTCCGCCAAAAATTCTGGCCAAAGGTAAAGAGCAAACACGGCGGCTACGTGACATGCTGCTGAATCCGTGCATTTTAATTGAATAAAATAATATTTGCCCAGCTAATGGCTTCATTGCACCCGTCTAAAGCAACAGCTCCAGACAATTACCGCTTTTTAGTGTGAAATACTTCAAATCCCACTCATTCGTGCCGCTATTCACTCGGCGCGGCTTTATCCGTTGCAATAACAACGGCAGATTCAGATTCATATCCGGATCCAACCGCAGAGTCCCGGACGAGCGAAAGCCGTCGACCGAAAACCAAAAACCAAAACCGTACCGAGGTCCTTTCCCCTTCCCCCGCCGCCTAGTTGCAGTTGATAAAACGGATTAAGCGCTGAAAGCAAGGATTTAATCTTTATAAATGTCATCCCGCTGGCACACGAAGACACGACTGAAGTTGGCCACAAATGCGTTGATATCCCAAGAATGCACAATTTATTTTTTTCAGAACAATAAATACTTTATACAAGTGATAACTAATGCTACTTTCAATTCTTTGAATTACAAAATTACGAGCTAACTTATTTTAATTGTATTTTAAAATCAACACGTTGAATTCTTAGATAAGGTTAAATCGGTAAAATTTTTAATTTTCGCTGGCTTGTGACATTATTTTCTAGAAAATTCCTATTACTTATCTGTAAGATTTAATGTGTTTTAGAAATAGGTTTATTACCTTTTTGGGTTATTTCCATATAAATTCTTCCACATTATCACAAACTTGCGTAAATTGAAAGTATGTCTTTTTTAACGTAGTACACTAACCTTCAAAATAATTTACACATTTTTCTCACCTCTAAATCCCGTTGAATTCGTATTGAAATCCTGCTGAATAGCTGAGAAAATTGCTTAATTGATGATCTAACTAACTGATCGTTTACAACCACTGCGATATGTTAATTTCTATAATTGTTGTAATTACGCTATTTAGCTAGTCATCTTTTCTAATTTCTAATTACTCGATTTATTTCGTTTAGTTAGTCATGCGGGAAATATTTTTCATTTGACTATCTCAAGACCTGTTAGCTTGATCTACTTGATATGAGCTAAAGGGGAATACACCTTTGACACCTTTGTTTTCTTTATGAAAAATTCCAAAACTTGCAAGCTTTAAAGCTTTTCAAAGGGCTGATTGGCATTTATATAGCGGAAAACTAGAGATCTGGCTTATTAGTTCCCATTTTCACCTAGAGATGAAGTGGATTATTGGCCTTCTTCTCGTTTCGACTGTATCTGCATCTCGACTTCCGAATGTCGGTTCTAACTTACGTATATTGAAGAACATCATAGGTAGTTTGAATGAAGATGCAGATGCCTGTTCCGACTACTTTGACTTCGCTTGTGGAAATTATTCTGTTACCCACTTCGACGACCCTTTTCCCGATATGTACCAAATGCTGAACCACAAATTAAATGTGAAACTCATCAAACTGATTGAGGAAATTGGTGAGAAGTCGCTGGAAGCGTCGAGTGTGGAGGCGAAGGTCTTGCGATTCTACCACAACTGCCGGGAGGCCCCTCCAGAAACACGGCAGATCGAACATTACTTGAGACTGACTCCTCCCGGCGAGGGGCTCACCTGGCCCCCGCTGACCCCCTCCGGTACTTCCTGGCCCAAAAACCAGTTCAAGTGGTTAGAAACCCTGGCATATTTAAGTCGGTTCGGCCCTATAAATGTATTGATTGATATAGAGATATCGTACAATTGGCAGAACAGTACGGAGTTTCTGCTAAACCTAAACAAATCCAATGCCCAGATCGATTCTGCGGAAGTACGCAAAATTCTTCGATCCATGGGAGTTCCATCAGAAAGAATACAGAATATAATCCGGTTGCTACTTAAGTTGGACTCGGATGTATCTAACCTTGCCCAAGAGGACGGAAGAGGCCAAATTATGAGTGTGCAGAGATTGAACAGCGCTACTGGCTACGACTGGCAGAGGTTCATCGAGATAATTGTGGGCCACCCTATTGAACCCACCCTATTCCGGGTGGAGATCGAGAACTTGCCCTACCTCACGGCTATTACGCAACTGGTAGACTCATACGACGGTGAGCTAGTTGCTTACTATATTATGGCTGGATTCGTGCGATATCTGCAGGAAGACACTGAGTTTGGGAGGGATCCCTTAGACTGCATTCAGGATGTGCGCCGCAACATGTATGTGGCTTCTAACCTACTCTACAGGGAACACTTCCTGACGACGCTGCCATTATACACAAAAGAAATTCAAGAGATCTTCGAGCAAATTCGCCACCAGTTGCTACTAAAAATCGAACGCAATCACCTTGGACTGAACGCCGAGCAGAAAAAGATGATCTACGGGAAAGTAAAAAATACTGTCCTCAACATCGGCAACATGCCCAAGGGCCGAGACCTCCGGAGCTTCGCCGATCAACACTATGAGGATCTGGAGATTTCCTCCGCAGATGAACTCGACTTTGCCCGGGAACACCTCAAGTTTATGGAGTTCCGCAACCGGAAGGAGATGGCGTTACTGCACCAGCCCGATCAGAATCCCAAAGATTATTTCGACATGCCTAGCAGATACTTTGCCACAAGCTCCGGTCCCTACTATTTACCCATTTCCAACGCTATTATATTTCCATACGGTCTTCTGCAGGAACCATACTTCCTGCCTGATAGCCACGATGTATTCAAGTTCAGCATTCTGGGAGCAGATCTTGGCCATGAGCTGATGCACGCCGTTGACAAAGACTATATGTTCGTCGATGGCCATGGAAACCATAACGAATTTGGATGGGAAATCAGGGAGCTGCCGCGGTTTCAGGAGGGTTTGGAGTGCATGAATCGCAGTTGGTCGGCCAAACTGGCAGAGCGAATGGCGGATATTGGGGGTCTTGATCTCGCCTACTCGGCCTACTTTGAAAGCGGCAAAATAAGGGACCCAACAATTATTAAGAAGGTTTCTCCTGAGCAGATGTTTTTCCTTAACTATGCCCAAGCTTTTTGCACAGATGGCTATCCGGAAGACGACGAGGATCACGATGAAGCGAAGTTGCGTTTGGAACTAATTGGAAGCGGTGCCGCCCCGTTTGACAGAGCTTTTGATTGTCGTCGGAATAACACACCATGCCAGTTGTGGTGACGTCTTTATAATCTTTGTAATCTTTAAGGATTTATAATTGGAAAGAGCTATAATTTATTATTTATTTGTTTATTTATTTCTGTAATGGGCAATTCTTTTTTAATAAAATTTATGTAATAAAATTATCAAATCGTATGTATACAATAAATTTTTTTTAAATTTCTGAATGATCTCCTATCAAAATGCTTTTTTGATTAACGGGTAATTATACCCATTACTCGTAGAGTAAAAGGGTATATTAGATTCGTGCAAAAGTATGTAACAGGTAGAAGGAAGCGTTTCCGACCCTATAAACTATATATATTCTTGATCGGGATCACTAGACGAGTCGATCTAGCCATGTACGTCTGTCTGTCTGTCCGTCTGTCTGTCCGTCTGTCTGTCTGTATGAACGCTGAGATCTATAAAAGCTAGAAGATTGACATTTTGCATGCAGATTCTAGGAGTACCTACGCAGCGCAAGTTTGTTTCAAAAGGGTGCCACGCCCCCTCTAACGCCCACAATCGTTTATATACGATTTTAAAAATTTCAATATTTTGGAAAAGTAAAAATGCAGTTTTATTGTGTTTATCAATACCTATCGAAATGTAGAAGAAATTTTTTAAATCGGAACATTCGTTAAAAAGTTACGGCGGATCAAAGTTTTTCTCCATCTCCTTCGCACTCCCTTTAGCTGAATAACGGGTATCTGATAGTCGGGGCACCCGACTATAGCGTTCTCTCTTGTTTTATGGCTCACATGCTTCAGTTTTCTTCTATTTTTAAAAGAATTTTTAAAGTTTTTTTTTTAAGAATGCATAGAATGCATAGATACCGAACGGAAAGAGAGCGTGAGCGAGAAAAGGAGAGGGTTACTTTTAATAAAGCAAATATAAATGTTTAAGTGATTTACGTTTTTTCCTCAGATCTGCCAACTGCATTAATAATACAATTAATATAATTGCAATAACAACGACTTGAAGAAAATTTCCCTACTAGGCTTGATACGATTTTTGATGACTAATCATCGTCAGCACCTATACCTAATTCTGAACAGCCGGGAAAACCGCTTTAGTTTGTAAATATTGCTAAAGCTTTAATGTAATGTTTGGGTTGAGATCTCGCGAGCTTTATGGCTGTTCTGAAACCCGGTTGATAAAAATACATTACACGCACGTCTCGTTCTCAGTCTAGTTTTCTCCCAGCGATGAAGTGGTTCATCTACCTATTTCTCGGCTCAGTGGTGTGGGCTTCTCGATCTTCGGATCTCAATAGACGGCTGCTGAATAACATTTTAGGCGATGGAAGAGGGGATACAAGTCCCTGCACCGATTACTACAACTATGCGTGCGGAAAGTATGGGCAGCGTCACATCAATGACTCCTTCGTCGGGATCTTCCAGGTGCTGAGCCACAAGGTGAACAAGAAGCTGCTCCAACTGATGGAGGAAAATGGTGAGAAGTCGCTGAACGAGTCGAGTGTGGAGGCGAAGGCCTTGCGATTCTATCTGAACTGCAGGGAGGCTCCTCCAGAAACACGGAAGATCGAACATTACTTGAGACAGGCTCCTCCCGCCGAGGGACTCACCTGGCCACCCCTGAACCCCCCTGGAACTCCCTGGCCCGACGATCAGTTCACGTGGATAGAAACTCTGGCCCATCTGAGCCGATACGGCCTCTCCGATGCTTTAATCCAGATAGAAGTAACACAAAATTATCAGAAAAATACGGAGTTTCTACTAAAATTAGGTAGCCCCGAATTAGCAACAATTCTCGACCTTGTGGAAGTGCAAAGAGCTCTTCGGGCCATGAGCGTGCCTTTGGAACGAATCAAGACTCTCATTCGGACCTTAAGACGACTAGATTGGGATGTGCGGACCGTGATCGTAAATCATGACAACGGAAGAAGCCGAGTAATGAGTGTACAAAAGTTGAATAGTGAAACTGGCTACGATTGGCAAAAGTTCATCGAGATAATTGTTGGCCACCGCGTTCAACCCAACTTCCGGGTGGAGGTGGAGAACATCGAATATCTCAAGGAAATTAGACAGCTAATAGACGGGGAAAACGTGGAACTGGTGGCCAACTATATGATGGGCAAATTCATAGAATATCTCCAGAGTTCCAGTGACGGTGGCGGAGATCCCTTGGAATGCATAAAGGATGTGCGCCGCAATATGGGATTGGCCTCGAACCTGCTCTACAAAGATCGCTTCATCAAAGACCTGCCAGCTCAAACAAAGAAAGTGGAGTGGATCTTTGGAAAAATTCGACAGCAGTTAATCGACAAAATCGAACGCAATCGCCTTGACCTGACCCCTGAACAGAGGGGAATGGTTACACGGAAGGTTAGCGATCTTGTCCTCAACATCGGCCACATGCCAAAGTTCCTTGAGCACCGGGACTTTGCCAACGAATACTATATGAATCTCGAAATTCCTTCCGAAGACCTCGACTTTGCTCGGGAACACCTAAAGGTCCTGAAGTTCCGCATGCAAAAGGAGTTGGCTTACCTGCGGCATCCACAAAATTTATTGCTTGAATCGGTGGATGCCACTACCTCTGATCCCGTCCTCATGGGCAGACAAAACTATATCGTAGTGCCCTATGACCTTCTGCAGGATCCGTTCTTCTCTTTCGGAAGTGACGATAAGTTCCAGTTCAGCTTGTTGGGATTTTCGCTTGCCCGGGAACTAATGCGCTCCGTGGATGATATCAATGTGCAGTACGATACCCACGGAAACCTAAACGAAATTGGTATTGAAATCTCGAATTCTCCGCGGTTCGAGGAGGCGGTTCAGTGTGTTAAGGAGACAAACGAGGAGGACATGAACGAACGCCTTGCGGACATTGGAGGTCTGAATCTCGCCTACTCCGCTTACTTGGCCAGCCGCAAAGGGACAGTCAGTGGCGCCACCAAGGAGACCTTCTTCCGGAATCTGGCCCAGTTCTTCTGCACAGATGGATTGCCGGATGCCAATGGTCAGCACAAAAACCAATTGAACTTGGAGTATATGCTACAGGGTTTCGCCCCCTTCGACAGGGCTTTGGAATGTCGTCGCGTTGCCCTTCAGTGCCAGTTTTGGTGAATATAAAAAGTTTAAAATGTTCCAAAAAATTGATTTGTTTTTATACATTTGTCAGTCGAATGTACAATAATTTTTCGTTGCACAATTTTTGTACGCGTGCCATTAATAAAACAGATGGCCAAATAATAATTGAATAAAATTTAAAATTATTTCTCGGAGGCAGCTGATTAAAATGTTTGAGTTTGAGAAATGTTGATAAGGCTGCAGTTATGTATGGAGCTTCTTTAACATCGTTTCTCAAACTCGTCCTTATGTTTATTAAGTCTCCAAACAAATTTCAACCTAATCAGTTGTTTGTGACCCACTTAACAATATATATCTTCTGTGGCAAGCTTTCTTTATTTAAAAAACCCTGGAAATTTAAATTAAATTTTTGGGATATATATACTTTTTTTTTCGTAGAGAGTATTTGGAATCTGAGCTTTCAGTTTCTTATAGAAAATATCTATGAATGGATGTAGAATTATACCCTCAGCAATGAAAAAGCAGTTATTCTGATTTTAAAGCGTTCTCCTAACGAAGATGATGACAAACCCGTTTCAGCCCAATGTATATATCACTAGGAGTCAGATTTGAGGCCACAATTGGATAACTAATAAGCCTTGATTTCCCCTGCAACCACATTCACTGCTGAGTTGTTAATTTAGACCATAATTGCAGCTGATGCTATCAATGTTGCAGCATTCGATGTTCTTGCCCTCTGGTAATTTCTATGCGTAGACCGCACAAATGGACAATATTCAATTAATTTAACAAACAATTATCATCAATTTTCATTAAATTAAATAACAGTTTTAACAAAAAAAGGCAACTGACAAATACAAAAAAACGCTGACCAGGATGACAAACTTTTTCCGCGCATTGCCAGTCGCAATTAGTTGTTAATAAACGGCTTTGGGGAATTGCAGCCACCTTCGGTTCTATGCCTCATAATTAACAGCGAAATAATAGCTATTAAATGGTTTAAATAACTGCGAATAATTAAAAAGGAAAAATAAATAGACTGAAAAGGGTCTGCAAAGGGGGGGAAATAATTTTGTACTTTCTGCAACAGCTGAAAAATAAAACGCAAAATATGTAAAAGAAAAGGAAAGCTGCAAAAACTATGCAAAACTTTTCGAGAGGGCAATGCAGGCTATTCACACTTAAACACAGGCACAAACACATTTTCATACAAATACGACCGCAAAAAGTCACTCACACATACACAGAGCTTCTACATAAAAATGCTTTTAAAATGTCAAAGCGCGTAAAAGAAAGGGGGAGGGAAAGGGGGGAGTGGAAAAGGGGGAGGCCGAGCTAAGGTTAGTCAAAGGATTGATGGCAGCGCTTAAATAAGCCAAGCTGGCAGGGGCAAAAGTTCACGTTGCGTATACGCCGTGTGCCAAAGTCAAAAAACGTAGCGCGCTTCAGAGCGTCGCCTAATCAAAAATGCTTTGCGCGCCGTGCCTTGCCGCTTACCCACACAAGCACACTGGCACACACACACACATACAGCTGCTAAGCCCGTATCAAGTATACGCCGCTTTGTCCCCCTATTTACAGATTCAGATTCAGCCGGGCTTTGACAGAGTTTTTATTTGCGTTTTATTAATGCTAAACGAATTCCATGGTGGCGTTGTGTGAACCACCGAAACTGATTTGCCAAAAGATTGCCCACCAAATTGCTGATTGACAAAAGCTTTCGCAGAAAGTGGGTTTGAAAATATCGTTTGGATATTTTACTTTAAATATTTGTAATTTAATATTTATGATGGAATAAATTTGGTAATTTATTTCAATGGAAATTAATGCTAAAATATGTTACAGAATTTAACATTTTTGAAAAAACAAATAGAATAAATTAGGTACTTTATTTAAATTGAATTAAATGTCCAAAATATTTTTTAGTAATTTTAACATTTTTGAAAACAAATAATATGCAAAATAAATTAGGGACTTTATTTTAATTGAATTGATGGCGGAAAATATTTCATAGGAAATTCAACGTTTTTTAATAATCAAATAGAATACAGCCTTGAAATTCAAGGTTTGATTTTAATGCGAAAACCTTTATGAGTTATTTCGTGCCAACATTTAGTGATACTGACAAAAAAGAAAGTGGGAACGCTGGTGCTTAACACTTTTCGTCACAATGGGGCTCGCCCTTTTGACGGTCGCTGTCACAAAAGTGCGCGCCGGAGTAAAAGTTGCAAAAAAAAATGAAAGGGGAAAAGAATAAAATAATTCATGCAACGCTGACGGCCCTGAAGTGGTCTCCCAGTCCAGTCCACTCGTCCCATCCCATCTCCATCTCCTCGTCCAGGACTTCCTTCTCATCATCAGCGTCCTCATCGTGAATAATTTGGGTCACTTGGCGGCAGTTAGTCAGCTGCATTGTTGCTGTTTGCTGCTGCGGTCGCGTTTTTCATTGTCGGCATGCGGCAGCCGCATTTTTCAATCCCTTTCCCGGCTTTTCCGCTTTCCCTCTCGCTTTCCCTCCGCACGGCACCGTCTCGCTTTGGGCATCTTAAACGCCTTTAAACTGAAAGACGACATAATTAATTAAGCTCGGCGGCTTGACTGATGTCCTGGATGGCCTCCTGCTGTTCGGCCAGACTTTCGAGCTACTCTTGCCGCACTAATTTCACTGAGAAAAAATATTGCAGATTTAACAATTAAGTGTCGAGACATTTTAGGATTTTTACAAATAAATTTGAAGTATCAACAAAAATGTATAACTTTTATTAAAATTAAGGGTTTTTAAAAATAAGTCTAAAAGTCTACAGTGAAAAAATAATGTTGTGTTTTAAAATGAACCTCAGATTTTCCGGCTCTAAATTACTATTGCAAACTTTTAGGCACCGTTATAAGTGATTTGAAAACCTTTGCTTTCTAATATTTTTTTTTTTTCATCAGTCTTTTCCTATCCACATTTAATGAAATTTATTTTCAGTGCTCTTTGCATTATAATGCGTGCCGCGAAAGGGCCACAAATTTAGTTGTGGCCTAAAGTGCTCCGACTGACCCCAAACTGGGCGACTGCGGCCGCTTGTGGCTCATTTGCAGTCTCCGGAAACGGAAATTTATGCGACCCAACAGGCCAAACTAGGAGCAGCTCATAAAGCCTCAACTTTCAGTCTATGAATTTTCTCCAGCTCCTCTGTGCGAGTGTGAGTGTGTTCGCGTAATAATTTAATAAAACGCTCTAACAGCAAACGCTTGATGTAAATGTAAAAAGTTTTCAAATGTTTGGCTGCAGCTCTCGGAGCGGAAGTGCTTTCAGCTTCCAGCCAGCGCAGTGATTGCTCGCCTCTGTGTTGTTATGTGTTAATTTTTAAAAACTGCCCGAAAGCAGCCGAAAAACAAGGAAAGCACAAGCACAGCTCAAAACTCCGCAGCAGTCGGCAAATGGAAATAGAGGAAAACCCATTGCTGTGATTACTTTGCAGCTGCCCAGAAGAGCGGCCACCACAAAAAAGCAGCTCTGATTTTCATATATATAGTTTACCCTTTTTTTTGTTCAACCGTTTTTCGGGGAATAGCCAGCGGTCAAACAGGAATAACTTTACTCGAAACTGTTGCACTTTTAATGCGTTTCGTTTCGGCTGCTTAGGTTCTGGCCGGGCTTTTGGGGCCCAATGAACCCGGGCCACTTTTTGGCCACTCTGAAAATTGTAATGCATTTGTAAGCTGATATAATATAATATAATATTTTCATTTGCATTCCCATTCATAACAATGTTTTAGTATGAATTCATTAATTTTCTGGATCTAAAATATACTATTACATACTTTTTGGCATTTTTATATATGATTTTCCAAATGTACTTTTTGTTATATTACTATTGCATACTTATTGGCACCTTTATATTATTTTACAAGATTACAAGTACTCACTCTCTTAAATTTTCTGAAAATTTAAAGCCACTTTAAGCTGCTGCTTCGGAGGTCTGTTCATCTTGAAGCCTGCTTCATGATGTTTATTTATGCCATTGCATTATTCTTATTATTGTTGATGTGGCCGCTGTAGTTGCAGTTGCTGTTACTGTCAGCAGCAATATTGTCCCAGTTAATGTCGTTCGACTGGCCTGGTCAATGCGATTACGCTGCTGTTTGCATTGATTGCAGGACAGGACAGGACCGGACAGGACATTGCACACACAGGACACGCAGGACACAAGCCACTGACAGAGGTTGTCAGTGGAAGTTGATCGCCTTTTTCAACCCTTTCCATTCATTTGCCTCGCATAATAGGCGTTGAAGTAGGAAGGGAGTTGCATTTGACATGGCCGAGTGTAAATTAATTGCATAAATTAAGTGAAAATGCACGTCCTCAGTGAGGGCAAAAACTTCGAGTGCAGGGCCCACGTGGCGAATGCGTAATGTAATCTCCAGGTGATAATTGATTCTGGCAGGCAAAAAAAACAGGGAGGGAAGCCCTTTTCGATTTTTACCCAAACTGGCAAGCTGCAAATGTGCAAATAATTATCTAAATAATTGAAAAGGGATTCTACTGTCAACTCCCCCTATTTTCCCCCCTCTTTACCATTAATTTCCTTCCCTTTTGCTTGAGTTCAGCAGTTCAGGCGTCAAGGATGCTGCTGTTTCACTTTTAATTATGTAGAACAACAGGTCTGGCAGCTGGACACTCCTTGCTTGTCTTGTGTTTTTGGTGCTTCACGCCAACTTATTTGATTTTCTTTTGCGCTTTTCCGCGCTTTCCCAGCCCTCTCTGCTTTCTACGCTTTTAACTTGTGATCTGTGTGAAAGAGCTGCAGGAAAACTTTGGCCAAGAAAGTTAAGTTTAAAGTGAATGTTCGCTACCTTTGGCTTGAGCGCAGCCCTTTTAATGGCTGCTTTAGGTTGTGTAAGCCAATTAGTTCTTAATTTGCAATTTGTTTTGCTGCAGTCGCCGCCGCCTGAAAAATATCCAAAAAAAAAAGAGGAGAAGCTGGAAAAACAAAGCGGCCAAAGGAGTTAAAGGCAAAGCCAACCAGCAGACGAGCATTTTTAAAAAC